CGAAATGTGTTTGAGGTTATTTTTCCAATGGTAAATGAGATGAACAATATGAAAAATTTATTTACCTGAGCAAATTATGACTCAAAAGGTTTAGAAAAATTCTTGTTCAACAATCCAGCATTTTGACTTCAATCAGTGTTCCCTCTAAGCTACGCAGCCACACAATAACCAATCAAATGGCATCTACTTAATTATTCCAGCTGCGTATGTCCTCAGTAATGATGGAGAGTCTTAACACACTGACGACCTTAATGATCCTAGCAGTTGATAGGCCTAAAGCCCAAATAAGCAACTGGTAGCACTGCAAAACAACCTAATGATTTAACAGGGTTGATGGTCTAAAAATACCCCCCCACACCCCCAAAAAAAACACTGACCTCAACACTTCTCTTATTTGTACATCATAATTTGCTCCTTATAAATCTTAGAGCAAATTGTGTGAATCTGGAATATTCAGAAGACTCATCAAGTCATAGTAGAAACCCAGAAAAAACTATTTGCTGAAGATGAGGGCAGTAGTAAATAGTGCTAATAAAGAAGAGGGAACATAAGCTCAACAGTATTTCCCAGAAATAATCTTACAGAAGTTTCTTATTGGGCATTCAAATAATCTAAGACAACACTTTGCAAAATATACCCTAAATCATTGTGATGAAATAATAAGTGTGCTTGGGTAGGAAGCAAAACAGTCATAAGAAATCCCCTCGGAGACTATTATGTTGGAACATTGGGTAGGAAGCAAAACAGTCATAAGAAATCCCCTCGGAGACTATTATGTTGGAACATTGGGTAGGAAGCAAAACAGTCATAAGAAATCCCCTCGGAGACTATTATGTTGGAACACTGGGTAGGAAGCAAAACAGTCATAAGAAATCCCCTCGGAGACTATTATGTTGGAACATTGGGTAGGAAGCAAAACAGTCATAAGAAATCCCCTCAGAGACTATTATGTTGGAACGCCTTGTGGTGAAATACCTAAGTAGATATGATTTACCAAATAATTCATGAGTGAAAACTAAAACCGCTAATGTCTAAATAGCTAAGAAAACTGATACTTTGTCTGAGATACAAGAACTATTCTATGGTGCCCAGAATCAATGTAATTACTAACTGATTTTGAAGCCATTTTCTATGCTTCCTTTTGCTAAAACATTCTGTGAAGGCCATCCCATGCATTTTGTGTGTTACTGCTCTTATTCAAATACTTCAGGTTATTGTTTACACTGGAATCTCTAAGTTTCTGGCAAAGTTTACACCCAAAACGGTGCTAACTTTTTTTAAGAAAAGTATATACTTAAAAAGGTTAAGTACAATATGCATGTTTAAAATTAGCAAAAACATTCCATAGTGATTTTCATTTTCTAAACTGATTCTGTATTTGTAAAAATAACTTGCTACCAACATAGACAATAAATTAATCCCGAACATAACGGCTGCATGTACAGCATGATAGTGTCAAACTAAGTTACTGCAGAGTTAACTTACTTCTGAAGTTTAATTTCAAATAAAAGAAGTCAACATCACACCAACATTTATACTGATATTCACCATTAGAATCAATATAACAGCTCAACAATTACTCATTCACAAAATGGAATTTTTTTTTATTGAAAAAAAAACAAGGATTACATGAACTACAGATATTTTACACTGGAAAGAGCCTGTAAATTAACAGAAGAAATGTGAATACAGCAGGGTCAGCAGGGCCAATATCATTCTTGGAAAAGAACAATCAGATATAATATTTATTAACCTTTATCAAATGGTATGAACATACAACTAGTGATGTTTCAGATGTCACTTTAATTTTATAATAAGTATCAATTTTCATTTTCAGAATGTGTAATTTAATGTTATAGGTTTTCATTTTCAATATTAATTCAGTGCTGGATAAAACTATATTTAAAATATTTATGCTCACTGCTGTTAAACTGTTTCATTCTGCAATACATGAATTTAGCTACACAGAAAATCTTCTTGATCTCTAAACCTACAAAATTAGGTGATGCAAGTGTCTGTGGATAAGAATCATTCTAAAAAAACTGTAATTGAAAGAAACATTATAATTAAAAGATCATTGTACGATACACACATAGTATCTTAAAAATAAAGAATATATTTTTTTAAATCAAACACATGAAACAAGAATCTGAAGAGACAGGAATAACTAACAGAATTTACATTCATTTTTTGTTGTTTTAAATATGAGAAGAACAGAAATTCAAATGAATCATTATATGCATGATGAAACAACATTAGTCATGAACATTATTTTTTGATACAGGAAAAATATAAAAATTTTTTTGTGGTAAAATCTGTTTGCTGAACTGAAGTTATTAATAACTCAAAAACTAAAATTCTATTTTGGTATTACATCAATAGTTTAAATTTAAGGATTTCAGCAATTAGGACGACATTGATGTAAAGATACACTTGCACACACACACACTCACACAGAAAGTTCACAATAGAACAAGCCAAAGCAAAAAAATGTAATGTTTTACAGAAACTTTAACCTTCGAAATCAAATTGGTACGTTGCTTAGAGATTTAAAGCCTTGAATGTCATTTCATTAGGCTAAAGATTTCAGAGAGCAAAAAACCTAAATAAAATCTCTAGTATAATAAACAGATATTTTTGAGTGTTATGTCATAGCCTGTTTGATATGAGGTTAATTACTTTTAAAATACAAGTATACCACTCAGTTCCTAAAATATAAGTATGCCACTCAGTTCCTGCCATTCCTAAAATACAAGTATGCCACTCAGTTCCTGCCATTCCTAAAATACAAGTATGTCACTCAGTTCCTGTCATTCCCAAAATACAAGTATGCCATCCAGTTCCTGTCATTCATAAAATAAATGCATGCCACACAGTTCCTGTCATTCCTAAAATACATGTATGCCACACAATTCCTGTCATTCCTGAAATATAAGTATGCCACTCAGTTCCTGTCATTCATAAAATACATGTATGCCACTCAGTTTCTGTCATTCCTAAAATACATGTATGCCACACAATTCCTGTCATTCCTAAAATACAAGTATGCCACTCAGTTTCTGTCATTCCTAAAATACATGTATGCCACACAGTTCCTGTCATTCCTAAAATATAAGTATGCCATCCAGTTCCTGTCATTCATAAAATACATGCATGCCACACAGTTCCTGTCATTCCTAAAATACATGTATGCCACACAATTCCTGTCATTCCTGAAATATAAGTATGCCACTCAGTTCCTGTCATTCATAAAATACAAGTATGCCACTCAGTTCCTGTCATTCCTAAAATATAAGTACGCCACCCAGTTCCTGTCATTCCTAAAATATAAGTATGCCACCCAGTTCCTGTCATTCCTAAAATACATGTATGCCACACAGTTCCTGTCATTCCTAAAATATAAGTACGCCACTCAGTTCCTGTCATTCGTAAAATGCAAGTATACCACTCAGTTCCTGTTATTCCTAAAATACAAGTGTAATACCATACACATCAAATATGCTTTCTATACATTTGAAACTTAACTAGCAAGTTTTCAATCACCCCATGAAATGTGTCTAGGATTAATAACCTGAAGAAATTTTGAAGAATGGAATATAAACTTGTTAACAAAGTTTGAAAATGGTGAATCCTTTTGTGTATTATTTCAAGGTTTAGTTACTGTTTTTTTTAGAAAACTTCAAAATTGAAGTTCTTCATTGACCCTATCCCTCTTTCCTGACAATGTAAATGAAAGGTCTCCTTTCACTGACCCTGTCCCTCTTTCCTGACAATGTAAATGAAAGGTCTCCTTTCACTGACCCTGTCCCTGTTTCTTGACAACGTAAATGAAAGGTCTCCTTTCACTGACCCTGTCCCTCTTTCCTGACAATGTAAATGAAAGGTCTCCTTTCACTGACCCTGTCCCTCTTTCCTGACAATGTAAATGAAAGGTCTCCTTTCACTGACCCTGTCCCTGTTTCTTGACAACGTAAATGAAAGGTCTCCTTTC